GTTGTCACAAATGATTTTAATTCTGTGCATGTATTCAGCTCTTCTGATAATGTATCATATGAAATCCCAATTTCGATTGATTGTTGTTCCAAAGGAATTTAGTTTAGGTCGTCTATACATACAGTTTATGAAAATCTAATTGAAGCGACGGTTATGTCCGTCATTTGTGAGAACGGTATCTGACTTTATCGTTGTCAGGCTCTTCCGGTGTGAATGCACCAAGCAGACCGAATTCAAAAGAAATATGATGTACGACTATAAGTAAATTAAGTCTCAAAGCAACCTGTACCATTTTATGTATTAGATATCTATTCACCTTTTCTTAACCAAGGACATAGACTTGGACTTAGGTCGTTCAGAACGTATCAAATCCCTACAAGAGCCTCAGCTAAATTTAGATCTAGCCATATCTCCAATCAATATCTGGACTAATACCCCACAAGTCATCAAAAACAGTCAGTCTAAATCTCACTTCCGAAGGAGATATGCTACCCATTATTACAGTTCTAACATTAATACTGCTATCAAAATTAAACTTAAAGAGACCAATAAGAATTAAACTAAATAGAATGAGGTGTGACTTATCACTACGCTCAGATTTCTACAGACACAATTTTGGAAATTCTTCAGATCCAAAATGCCAGTGTGAGTATAATAATCAGACAAGGGTTCATTTATTTTTCCTACTTTATTGCCCTCTTACACTTAAAGCAAGGCAACATTACATGGAAAGTTTATTTATGGTTGACCGAAATGCATTCAATTTTCCAGGTAAATGTAGCATTGAGAAAATAGATATGATTTTGTTTGGTGATCAAAATCTTACAAGTGATCAAAATTCAATTATTATGAAGTTATCTGCAAATTTTATTGACAAGATAATTTGGGAATTTTGTGTGCTACTTTTTTGATCATTGCTCATCAATTCATCTCATCATCATCAACTATCTTCCACGATAACCGGCGAGTAACTGATTTTCAATACTACAAGCCAAAAATGTCACAAGACCTCGGCTTGCATTTCATATATGTACCCACTGTTATATTGGTTTGTAAATATGATTTATATGAAATAAACTAACCTTAAAAAAGTAAATTAGAAAAAACATTTACTGTTTTAACTACTAAAGTGCACGGTTTCAAATTGTCTCTTATTTCAGAGATATACCATCCTCCTAATTACACGTTTGCTACGATCATATGGAAATCAAAATATTTTCTGCTGGATGACAGTAATACACACTAAGTTTTGTTTATATCGAAACCATAACAAAGTGAGAAATTATCTTTAATGATTACAATGAACTAAATGATGATTCTGAACAAAGCGATTAACAACTTATTATCGTAAGTAGGCTACGTCTGAGGCTACGTACACCTAGTTGCAGGTTCATCGAGGTTCATGAAGTTGACTTTTTACCAAAGCTTGATAGCAGTCATGGAAGTAAAATGCTGATAATGCTGATAATCCATAATATGGTCATTCTTAAATTGCTGTAGCAAAGGAGGGGGTTGGTAACATGATTATACCAATAAAAGAGATAAACAAATTATTAAAAGGCCTACTCTATACTAACATGGGAAGTAAGACACCCCTTCCTCTTATCAAAATGAAGAATATAAGAGGGGGTTAACTTACTCCCCGTGTACCCAAGTACCCCTTCCCAGGGGCGTAAATAAATACTGTTTCACTTCGCGCCCGGTGATCGTACAAAATGGATGGAGGGGGGATTAGGCGATTTCTGCAAGAAAATCCCAAAAATTTGGAAGATTTCTTCAAGAGAAAATTTACAACTGAATTGCCAAATGAATTGGCGCAGTGCATGGCAAAATATGATAGGCCATCTAGTATTTTTTTAACTGATACCCTTCTAAGATATGAGATCTATTAAAAAAAGGCGCATCATCACCAACGTGCAAAAGTCAATGTTTTTGCTATAAATCGGGCAACAATGGTCTACACGAACTGTGATAAATAGGTATAAGGGACGTTATTATCACAATACTAATGACATTGCTCACGTTTTAAAGTTAGTTTCCATGCGTTATACAAAAAATAATCGAAATAAATTAATATTGGATGGAGGGGGGATAGGATGGAGGGGGGATAACGTGTATATAAGACATGATAAGACATGCTACTTGAATTTATTCTTATGATTCCAAATTTTCCCATTTTTCATTCTCCAGAGATATACAGGGTGGGCCAAATAACGCCACTTTTTTAAAATGGTATAACTTTTTTAATTTTTGATACAAAATCATAATTTGCATACCAAATGAAACTTGAAGATGTTATCTAGCCATGGATCATGAATTATACACTTTTACTTGAATAAAATATGTCACCAGCATCTCGTTTAAAAATGTGATGTGCCATGAAAAATAAGCATAATTTGCAAAATGTTGCTGAACTGATACGGCCTGATGATCACCAAGCTAATAGCACTGATGCAAACCCCAGTGAGTACAGGGAATGGGAAGGTCTCCAGGAGATTGTATGAAGGCACCCAATCTAGAAAATTGCTCAGCATCATTACACATCGTCAATTTAATGGTCATCTTTTGGATGGTAACATTGTAATTTGAAATATACAGGGTGATCACTAAGTTCTGGGAATTGGTCCGTCATTTCAATATTTTTCAACCAATTCAGTTGAAACTTCCAGCAAATGTACATATTGTATAATTCTGAGTTGACAGACAATGTTTCATATATATATCACTTTTACAATTTATTTTATTGTAATTTTAAAAAAAGTAAAAGTCGTCTGCGGGTCAGCAAATTTTGACTGACGTTAATTTGAAAATATCCTGCTAAAACATATTCATCTTGCCTATTTGGTTGGTTCAAACCTATTGTACTAGAGACAGAACAGCACTCTTGAAGTCATTTATTCAGAAGTATTCGTCATTGCTGGGAGGATCATTTCATTTATAATGATTTCCATAGGCTTGGACGCCCTTGCATTGTTGTCAAACCTAGTCCATAAAGTCGCTTTCCAGTCCTCCCTTTGGTATCCCTTGAAAATTTGCTCAAGCTGTTGAGATCAGTCTCTCATCGGAACCAAACTTAAAAAGATCTCTCATATGATGCTTCAACAGTCAAATTTAGTGAACCTAATAGTGGTTCATCTGGTGAACATTATATGGTGAATATGGGGCATGAACAACGTGTGTGAACCCTAATTCTTCAAGAGTAGTATGGGCAGTTTGAGGAGTGGGAAGAAGCATAGTCATAATGGAAGATAACTCCCCGCTATTTTGAGTCATGATTGTGATTTTGAGAGTCTGACCAATGATAAGAAAATTGATCAAAGTACACTCTTATATCACAATACAGATTTACTTTAGAAACTAAAGTTAGAAATATTTGAAAACATAAAAAATCACAGAAATTTGTCCACCAAATAGGTATTAATTAACCATACTTTTGGATCAAGAAAAATAAAAATGAATTCAAGTTTTGCTTGACCCGCTACGCCATTTGTCATGTTGCTATAGTAACAATAATTATACATTGTGTCATCATATGGCAATGAGACTGTTTTATCCAACCCAAAATTATATTCTCCATTTACCTTGAAATTTTCAAGTAGATTGGTTGAAAAATAATGAAATGACAGATAAATTCCCAGAACTAAGTGATCACCCTGTATATATGTATATACGACATAAACACAACGTGTTTAGGTCTCTCAATATTGTAATTGCACAAAGGATAGTTTCGTCGATTTTAAAAAAGTATCTTGTTAATGAAATAAAAGGTTTATCTTAATTTATATATATTTTGGGGGGTTTTGTCTTAAGTTTTTGCATACTTTTTGTTAAATCAACAAATATTTCCTTTGTATAACTATAATATTGAGAGGTCTAAGAAAATGTTGTATATGCTATTTTGTTCCAACAAGGTTCGGAAAGACATTTTATTTCATTCTCAAGAATTGGTAGAAAGGAACAAAAACAACTGCACTAAAAAACAAAAAAAAATGTTTACAAAAACAGTTATAAAAATATATATAATTAATTTTTGCATTAAATTGGTGCCAATCAGTCGACATTACATAAAGGACCGTGTTTTTTTACAAAATGTTTTCAATAATTGGTTTAGAGAAAAACTTGTTGAATTCAGTTCAGCAGAAGAAGTTTGACTTCATTATACTCCAATGCAAAGGATATTTAGAATTCAAATATCAGTTGTATCATTTTTAGACACGTGCCGCCTGATGTGGAATTTTTCTCTAAAATCTGATTTGTTACAGAAAACAAGGAAATTAGAAGAGTCTTCTCATGCGAAAATCTGAGAATCCTCAAAAATTATTAGAAGATCTCTTATGTATGGTTATTTTACACTGAAATATCATACAGTGACATTTTACAGATTCATGGAAAACGTGTTCGTTGGGATTTGCTACTCCGTGTACTTGCCGTTTTGTAGTTTACTATTGATGAGTAATACCATCGGCTCTGGCAAAAGTAATTGACAGAAAAACCATTTTAGCTACATAATCATATTATTACATGTATTATATCTATTTTTATGTAAAACAAATAAAGAGTCTAATAATAAACAGTCAGTTGATGAAAATCAGACTACTAGCGACGATTAATCTGATAGCGAGAAAAGAGAAGACAATTTATAATGTACCAAGCAGACCGAATTCAAAAGAAATATGATGTACGACTATAAGTAAATAAAAAAATAGTATCTACTGTTTTAACTACTAAAGTGCAGTATTTTAAATTGACTTTTGTTCTTAGAGATATTCCATCCTAGCTTTTCTACACGTTTGCTACGATCATATAGAAATCAAAATATTTCCTGGCTCAAAGTAAAACACACTATACTAAGTTTTGTTTATATCGAAGCCATAACAATGTGAGAAATTTTCTCTAACGATTACAATGGACTTAGATGAATACAAAGTGATTAACAACTTATTATCGACTAGGCAAGTGAGCCTAATTGTGATGTAAAATGGCTATATAAACTAAACTAGGATAGCATTGATCATTTCAGGCACCGAGATTCCAAGGAGATATGAAGATAAGTGATTTTCTCAGAGGGGTTGGGAATACATCAACCTCACTTACGCGGGCGCTGGGAAATGCAGCAGCGAATAAGAAGAACAGTTCCTACTATAATACCAAGGAGCAGTATAGCACCCGTGGTTATGGAGAAACGGTTGGACTAATCATAGCGTTCGGGATTCTCATCCTAGTGTCCCTGTTTGGTAATGTCCTCATGTGTCACGTGATCATTAAAAATAAGCGAATGTGGACAGTGACGAATCTGTTCATCACAAATCTCGCTATAGCGGATATTGTCATCACGATCGTTAACATTCCTTTCAACATCGCCCGCTTTGCCTTCAACGAATGGCCATTTGGGACAGCAATGTGCCATTTAGTGAACTTCAGTTTGATGGTTTCTGTATATGTGTCGACATTTACGTTGGCGAGTATAGCCCTGGATCGACATCGGGTGATAATCCACCCATTTAAAGGACGCATCTCTACAAAACAGGGCACGATTGTAGTGGCGATAGTATGGATGTTGGCCGTCATGCTTTCATTGCCATATGCGATATTCTCAAAGGTTCAGCAGAGAAGCACATTGCTCCATAAAGTGGACAGGTGTATAGAAGCATACCCGAGTCCATCTGATATTTACGCACAGGGAATTCAATTAGCGACGATCCTGGCTCAGTATGGCATCCCTCTAGCGATAATTTCGGTATCGTATGGGCGTATCGTGAAACTGTTATGGCTACGTGCACCGTTGGGGGAGGCCACTGTCCGACAGCATATGGCTCAAGCGAAAGGCAAAAGAAAGACAATCAAAATATTGATATTGGTTGTTGTGGTATTCGCTATTTGTTGGATGCCTTTGAATTTATATCATTTACTAACGGATCTTCGTCCAGACTTATTTCGTCATAACAGCATTGCATTCTTCGTCTGTTACTGGATCGCCCTCAGCAGTGTTTGCTATAATCCGTTCATATATTGCTGGCTGAACGAGAACTTCAGAAATGAAGTGAAAAAGGTGTTCCCGTTGTGTTGTACGATACGTACCAATAGCCGAGATAATAGCAGAAGATATAGGGCCAATATGTGCGACAATAGAAGCCAACACTATGGTAAACAATACATGTTAGTCATAAACAAAACGGATGGTTCCACATCTTCGTTTGTATTAAAGGACACTGATATCAAGAACACGCGATCTACCGAGCCTTATTGCGCATTTAAGATAGACAACGATGACAGCCCGTTCTTACTCCACCAGGCGGGGAATACACCGGGCTCCTCGCCCATCCTAACGGTGAACAGACTCAAAGTTCATAAAGGCATTATTTGAATGAATGCAAGTGAAGAAGAACATAGAATCTAATGACAAACATTCAAACATACGTTGGAACATTGTATGTGTGGGCATATTAAAGGCACAGATAAACACAAGAGATAATTATTAGTAATTACAAATACTAACTTATTTGGAACATTTGGAACACCATGGGAATCTGGAAACACGGTATCAAAGGTCAACAAGCATTTATGAATAAATCGACTTTCCATTGTTTTCGATATGTAGATTCCAGGAGTGTTTAATCTATACAATAAGTTTATTTCCGTTTGAACGTTTGGAATCTTAGAAGAGCTCAAAACTCCGTTCGCTTATTTTGGATTCTATAATCCATAACTGTGTCTGCAATCTAAAATGTAAAACTAGGCGCCGGGCTACAAGAAATCATACACTCTCCTCCAAAAGTTTGGCAACAATAACTACGTTTTAGATAAAAGTGTCAATATGAACATGCTTTAACACGTGCTCTAGAAGGGGAATTGGTGATGCCAAACTTATATTGAATATTGAGAGAAGTGTACATATCGAGTTGTTTTCTTTCAGTAGCACCCTTGGTATACGCAGCTAACGAAAATTGACCGGCACGGGTCAAAAGCTGGACCGGCACGGGTTAACGGTTTTATTTGAATTTAAAACAGCCATAACTTGCTCAATATTGACTTCCTCGTGTCTAATTTGAAATATATGATGCCTCCCGATGCTTTTAAGTACCCCAATTTTTTACAGATTTTTAAACGGACCAAAACTCTCTAAATGCGCATTTATGCTCTTTTCTCTCGAGAACGACTGTCTCATTTTCACGATAACTTTTATTTAGTACTTCTAACATATAAGATCTATTTTTCCCCATCAAGGTATGATGTAAATGACATGCTATTTACATATTGTGAGTTTCAATGACGCGCGTTTGATTTTATAAAAAATGCCAAACTTTGTGACAAAGAATTTCCTCCTGCTTGCAGCGAGAAGACGGACCGGTTCGGGGCAATAGCATGAACATCATTCAGGAATCTTTATTCATGTGTGTTACATCTATTATTACAAGGATCTAAAGTTTCAAATCTTCTCTTAGAACCTCTCCGACAAACCGTTACATGTCCAACTTACCTTCGGTTGTGAATTCCAATGGTTAGAATATTGCCCAACTATGCGATCAGGTCATCGTTCCATCGCTTCTTGGGACACTTTTAATTAAAATATTTATTGTATACCAACATTTATCCCATTCTACGACGCATTTGAGGTAAAAAATAGGTTGGTAAAAGCTGATTAATATTATCCAGAGCAAGTTGGATACAGCTGGAAATATATAAGGGTTATGTACTGGGAGGTTTTGGATATAGGGTATATCCTGAGGGATATATTTATATCTCCCCGAGGGACCGAAGGGACCAAGGGGAGATATAAATATTTCCCGATGGATATACCCTATATCCAAAACCGACCGTACATAACTGGTGTATCTCATACTTGAGTGGGTTAGTAGTTAGTTAGTGAGTTGGGATTCCACCTTTTTCAAATGACAAGATAGGCCTATAGTAAAAGCAAAATTTATATTTAACATTTTCGTAATATTCTTTTTGTTCAATACAATGAAATTGTAACATTTAAACTTTAAAAAATTTAAAATTTAAAATTTAAAACTTTTAAAAATTTTGATTTTTAAACTTTTTCAAACTTTTGAAAAATTCCCGGGAGCGGGATGGATATATTATATCTGCCCGCATTTGGCTTGGAACGGGACATATACAATATATCCTGCCCGCTCCTCATATATGATATATATTCCCGGGTGATATCTACCCCAAACCCACTTAAGTATGAGATACATATATATATCCCTCGGTCCCTGCGGTCCATTGGGAAATACACCTGAGAATTTCCCTGAGGATAAACCCTGTATCCAAAAACCTCCAACATAATCCATATTCACATGCCGGCTGAGCAGGCGGATGTATCTTCCCGCTTCACGTTAGACTCAGTTCTCATTATCTTAAATATTTAAGTGCCAAGTGCGCTGGAAAAATCAAGCCATTGAATATAAAGGGGCATGGGATAAACAGTTTTTCCTTTAGTAGGTTCTGAATATTGGTATTATCCTAGGACCATATAATGTATCTGCCCTTGAAACCTAGAACCTCATATAGAGTAATCTCTATTTATCCTATGCCAAGTAGTTTTAGGAAGATAAGTTATATTCGCATCTGTATCCCGACTCTTAAGTTTCCATATCCAGAACCTACGTATCTCCCGCCATATCTCCCGCTCCCGAGCATACCTTTCCACTTTTGGCAATTCTAAAAATCTTCTGGGTATAGGATAAAGCAGTTATTTACGCTCGGTTTCGAAATGGGGTTTACTGCTCCGGAGATATGCATTTCCTACCCCTACATAAACTCCATATTAAAATCTCCCCGATTCATAATCCCTTTGTACCCCATAACTAGGAAGGTAAATAGTATGTATCAGAGCAGCAGGTGAATATTATGTATCACTGAACATAGCAATTTCTGTTTTGAAAAGTACGATATGAAATATATATTTTTTAGTTCTCCTAGTAAAGCTCGATAACATCCAATCGCGTTTTTGTCTTTCCAAAGTTTAATCTATCAAAGGTTAATCTATTTTCAATCGAGAGTTAGCTTGAAATATCAAAACATTATAATATTCTCATACTTGTAGAACTAAAAATGCTTTCCTACTATCATTACTACAATGACGAATATTTGCTACATGGGTCACAAAAATATATTTTCAGTTTCCCAAATAATCGGATCTGGCATGAAAAGCATCCCGAGATGTGTAAATGATGATAAGATTAGTAAATAATTAGAAACGTTGTTATCTTTTTAAATCTTCGAACCTCAGTAAATTGTTCACTGCACGGGGAAATTTCATTGCAACTGCAAGAGAAGTGTCCAAGTAATTTCTATGCTTCTAGCAAATATGCCTCTGAAGGTATGTGAAAATAGGTTATGTGCGATCGGTTGAAATACAAGGTTTATCTCTTGGAATTACTGACCTCCGCGAACAGACCGTAGATTGCTAGACATTGTTAGTACCTCAGTTGAAATACTCAATTTTGATTGGTCAATTAGCGATTGATTAGGTCAATATGTACTGTTGACCGATACTGGGTACTGTTGACCGCTTCTGGGTACTGTTGACCGTTACTGGGTACTGTTGACCGCTACTCAGTACTGTTGACCGCTGCTAGTTACTGTTTCAAAATTATTATTTTTAAATCAGAATTGAAAAAAGAAATTGAAAAAAATCTAAATCGTATTATATGTTTTTTTCGTGAAATATGATATCTTGATCAACTTATCAAATATTTCTTCACGTATTACTAGTATTCGATTATTCTCAGTCAACAGTACTTTCAAGGTTTACAGTATCGGTATATATATCGTATACTATATGATTTCTATTAGCAGAGAAACAATAACTCAAGACAGAAAATATTTTATTCAAAAATATTGCAAATACGATGTAACATTGAAATGTCATGAGAAAAAATAAAACAGGAACACTAAAATAAGAAGCATATACAAAAACATGCGCTTTAGTGATAGTCTACATGTTGAAGTCACTTGTCGTTTTCCTGGTCTATAGGCCTACATGTACATGTATGTCCTCTTTTTTTACAATGCGCAAGATTTCTTCTTTGTTTGAATTTTGCATGGCATGTACAAATGTAATCCCTTCTTTTGCTGTGCACATCTAACTCATGTTGTTTTCTCATTCTCCTGCTCGTGCATACTTTTTTTTACAAATCTTGCATTTCTCAGGCATCTTTTGGATGCAGAATGTTGGATATGCAATGACTGTGTTCGCAGAAGACGTCGAGATTGAAATGCGGCGGAGGGGACATGTAAATGAAGCTAATCTATGCAAGCTTGTTAGAGAGTGGTACCAAGCAGAAGATGATCCAGGTACTAAATATTTTTTAGTTAGTTGGTTTTAGGTAGATTTTATCACTCTTCCTTATGAACGTATGTACACGTTTTCGAAGGAAGTTTATCATGAAGGTCAAAAATGGACACATATGTTGTATTGTATTGTATGGTGTGGTATGATGTGGTATGGTATGGTATGGTATGGATTGGAATGGCATGGAATGATATTGTATGGTGTTGGATGTTATTGTATTGTATTGTACTGTATTGCATTGTAAAATTGCATTGTAAAATTACAGTGTCCTCGGTTATAGAAATACATGTATATACAATTACCATTCTAGTACATCACATATAACGGCCACTGAGGTACATCACCTTGTTCCCTAATCCTTGAGATTTTCCACGAGCTTTTGCCACATGTAGAAATATTCGGACATCAATGTGTTGAATTTATCCTAAAACCTGGAATTTTATTTGCAACCTTTGCGACTAATCAATTTATCGAAATAATCAACTGGCTTGATGAGTATCGATTATTGTTGAAACCAACTATTTTGACCATTTTTATCAAATATTTCTTGTTTAAAGGGGCAACAAGGCCTGTAGGGAGAAAATAGGAAAATCAAAAAAAATTCTGAGCTATCAAGGCAACATTTGGCTTAACATCTTCTTTGACATACCTATTTTCTTAAAATGTATGGATAAACTATCAATTTCAGCCTTAAGAAGTGTAAATTCAGTTCAAAGCTTGAAAAAGGGGAAATCCACTTTTATATTTTTAAGATCCACCATGTTTCAAGAGGAATATCAGCTGAAATAATGTTTATCTAGGGGGTTTCTTTGTAGATAATAAAAATAGATGTTAGTCTTGATGAAATATCCAAACTTAAATATATTTTGGCACTGGTCCATGATCGTTGAATGGCCCCTCTGCACTAATTGTTGCACCTTTAATTAACACCAACCGGCATTTGTGGGAAATGAGTTGATTTCTCTTCAAGTGGTGTTTTAATTTAAAATTTACACAGCAAAAAATGTGTACGAATACAACGAATCCTGACGTCAGGATACATACAGGATATGCACCCCGTGTGCCAAACCTGTATGAATCCTGACGCCTGGATTCATACAGGATTGGCACCGAATGTACATATCCTGTACATATCCTGTGTCAGGATTTATACAGGATTGACGCGTGTAGGAATCCAGTATGAATCCTGCATCTGGATTCATACAGGATACGCTCGCAGTGTGCCAATCCTGTATGAATCCTGACGCCTGGATACATACAGGATTGGCACATTGTGTGCATATTCCGGATTACATATGCTGCACATAATTTACAAATTATTGATTGCTATTGTTACTAACATTTATGACAAAAAATTCTTTAAAAAATCCATGTTAATTTGATAAAAAAAACAATTTTCTCAATCAAACAAATAATCTACTTTTAAAAGTACCTATCCTAGTATCCAAAAGTGAATTTCATTAAATTAAGAATGAACATTTTGCCATTAGTCACAATTATTTTTTCCCTGGACTATTGTGATTTGATATTTGATGCTTAAGAAGCTATAGAAGACAAATGGTATATAAATAGCAATATATGACAAACTTTTAAAGAGCCTAATGTCTGCAACCTTTTTATAACAGACTTTCAATTAAATGCCCATTATAACACATAGTCGCAATGGTGGAGGGATTTGGATATTTGGAATTCCCCCGGCGATTTATTATTACTTATCTGTTTTCAATATTGTTGGTATTTTGCAAGCCTTTAATATTCAATTTGCACTTCAAAAAAGTATTGTTATTCAAAAGGGTCAAATCGAGGTCAACATGACATTTTGTGATAAATTGTTAATGTGCGAAAGTACGAAATAGTAGTACAGGTATGTTCCATGATCCAAACGTGACGAGGCTGTTTTATCAATGTTCTACGAATCTAGGTTTTATATCACTCGAAACAATGCATAGCCCTTGGTGAGGGGGGGGGGAATTACAGACATCTAACATAGCGTTTTAGTTATGTATAACAAATAATACTAATAAGTCCACCTTTCTGATTACATTTTGTCCGTGTATTTCT